TTCGGTATTGTCCTCATAGTTAAGTTTACGTGATATCACCACAACCCTACGTTAGATTTAGTTACATTATGGCAGATGGTACATCACACAATGAAATGTCAAGTACGAACCTAAATAGTACGCCTTTGTAGATTTCTAACCTAATTTCAAGTTGGTATGGAAAGTCGAATTTAGTGAAATTGCGTAAATTAAATCCCGTTTGCCTCAAAAAGGGTAAATAGGGTTGCCTTTGGAATTAGGAGAGCAAAGAAGAGGAAGATCGTTGGTTTGGGAGGGTGCCATGACATTGTTTGCTAGTAGTCGGGAATTATAAAATGATCTAAAAAATGAAATTGAAGATTTGTCGTTGTGGAAATAAAGTTTGGTTAGACATAATTTCACTGATTCAAATTTGCTCACGGCGCGTGCGAACTTGCAGGCTACTGATTCACTTGGGAAAGGGGGGCCGATTCTGCTTGACTATGTCGCCTATTTTTGATGAAGTGGCTTAGATATGGAATGGCAAGGTCTCTGTGAATGATCCTATTGGAGACATACCATAGCGGATATGAGTGCCGCAAACGTAATTTAGAAGTTGTTTTTTCAGTGTGCTTCTGCCACTTTATCCCCTTGTCAAGAGTAACATCCAGGGCTGGCTTCAGAGTTTTGTGCGCCCTGAGGTGAAATATGCGCCCTCCCCCCACATTAATGGGGAACAAGGGTGGACCCAGCTTCTGAGTCGGGGTTACTTAGTTGCGGTATTAGGAAGCTACCTAAAGGGACGAGTGGTGTGGTGGTCACCGGACTTATGTTCACGAAGATGCGTTAGGCATTCTGAGAGCGAACTCCTTTATAGAAATTGAAGAGCTGGGGAGGGGTTGCGGCGGCTGGATCCGCCCTTGATTGAGAATTTTGCACCCCCCAGGACACTGTGCCCTGCCCAAAGAAATTAGGTTACAGTGTACGGACACTCTCATTGCTGCAATCTGAAGAAGTTTTTTTCCATGAAAAGCCCGAATAGTGCACTAATGGTTGTCACAAACCTACGTTCTTTTGACGTCATTGTACTACATAGAAAATTTTACTAAAAGTTGATTTGAAGGCGTGGGAAGTATAGAGTCAATATACTTGACGCCATTTTTTGTCACATATACAATATAATCCTACAAAGTATAATCATTAGCATTGAGTTATGAGCCACAATATGTTTTATTGTAGATCACAACCTCATAAACCATAATATAAGCAATAAAGAATATTGCAATAAACTACCGATATATTAATTAGTGGTAATTACGAAGCACATCTAAATTTGACCCCATCGCGTAACACTCATCATCACGTAATGTTGTGGTATTAAACGTTTTATAATGCACATTTAACGGTTTTAACAGCTGCCCATATAACCGCCTGATTTAGGAACTATGTAGTTTAATTGTATTTGGAACGAATTTAAGTATTTATTGAGAGGAGCGTTTAAAGCCGTCAAAAACCTTTCGGTATTTGCTAGTATGATAAAATTAGCATTAATAAATTGATATTGGTAGTCAAGACAAAGGATAAAACTGTTACTTGAATTTTATATCTGTTATGGAATGTGGTCCAAGAAATAACGAGATTTTGCTTACAGAAATCCAACAATTTTTGCCACAGTAAATTTTTTGCTGGTATCATTAGGTTATTGCTTTCTAATGGTAAGTTTAAATTAATGTCTTTCATGGAAATATAGTCCAAGAAATAGCGAGATATTGTTTACAGAAATCCTACAATTTTTGCCACAGTAAATTTTTTGGTAGTATCATTAGGTTATTGCTTACTAATGGTAAGTTCAAATTGGCATCATGATAGGGGTGGACCATTTGCCGCCATTTGATCTAAAATCTTGAAAACTATCAATCCTGTGTAAAAAAGTAATGGGAACAGTTTTTCAGGGAATTAAGTTATTTATCATGTTTGCCTTTAGAAAAATGTGCCATATTCAACAGATTACAAGAAATAAAAGGATAAAGGTGCATGTGAGCATGATATATCCGCGTATAATGGCTAAACTAAGAATGTAAGAGTGTATAGCACTACTATTTTTTCTTTGTAGAGAATAAAATTTGATATAAAACAGGTCTTTTAGTTTTTTCGATCTGAGCAAATACTTCGACTGTGTGCATCACGATATAGTTATTTTAAAGCTACCGTATAACACAATCGATCCTTCTGCTGTAGTGCTTCTAAATTCTTATTTAGAGCTAAGGCACTAGCTCATCGAATACTGCTTTACTTAACTAACCCCGGTCCTCCTAAATCCCATATTGTTTGAGGGGTCTCGTGATTGTAAACAGTATATATTAAAACGCTACTCTTAAAATTTGAAACGAATTTAAATTCTCATTAAATTGAAAGTGGTACGCGCGTAAAAACCCCTTCCAACAGGCAGTAGTAAAGAAGGTATTTGTAATTCAAACAAATTTAATTACGTGTATATTACACTTTTACTGCTCAGTGTAAATTCGAGAAGGCCGATTTAAATGAAGGTTCACGCTTAATACGTGATGGGAATAAGAAACCAGATGCCTAAAGACCACTTTTCTAAGATAGGTCACCCAAAGCTAATATCAATCTGTAGACGCTAAATCTATTTCGTCTTAGCCTTATGAGTCCACGGGGCCCGGGCCCAGGGCCGTGGCTTGATAGGGGGCCCCCAAATGCCCAAAAATCAATATCTGGGAAACCCCCGCTCTTCAATGTTCTCCAATGAAAATATAGGGGATTTCACTCTGCCCTGGGGACCCTACAGCCGCAGGCTGAATGACACTCAGTGGCTTACCTTGGCCTATTGTGGAGAGGAGCCTAGGAGGATTTAAGATACAGACATAGACCCAGCTTCAACCATTCTGATAATTACAAAAAGATATTCCAAATGATCTTTACAGAAAGAAATGATTTCCCGTCAAACGAAAAACCTAGTGGCTGTGAATGCCCAGATACCAGACGAAGTCAGGGAGAAAGAAATGAAGAGGAAAAAGTACGTCAGTTGAAGGGGTACCTTGGCTTTTTAAATTGATTAAAAAATGTATTGTGGGAAAAATTGTAATTTTGTTTGGACCTGGTATTGTACGATTTAATTTTGTTCATAGTGGGAGCCGCGGTCTTGTCTGCTTGCGAACTTGCTTGAGCAGTCTACTGACTCATGCTACAGAGGGTTATATGCGATTCCGTTTGACGATAACGTAACTGCGCCTGTTGTTTGATGTAGTCTCTTAGGTAAGGGATGTCGAGGTATCTGTGAAGGGTCTCGTTGGAGACATACCATGGGGCGTTAGTGATCGTACGCAACACCTGCAGACTACTCATTTGCGATCTGGTGAGAAAACACCATGCTGCACATGCGTAAGTGATTGATGGTCTAATAACCATCTTGTATAGCCAAACTTTGAGGTTCTACATAGCATAGGGCCGCAACGTAATTTGGAATTTAGTTTTTAAAGATACCAAGATACTTAGCAAAATTTTCCGATTGTACGCGAGCTCCATTCACTGAAACCTCAGGCGGGGCACCGCTACGTTTCTTAGAACAACAGATAGCCTGCGCTTTCGAATAATTAATTTTCATCAGCCACCGATCTGCCCATTCCAATACCTCATCCACCGCACTTTCTAACCTGTCGTGAACCAGATTCCCGGAACGTGACTTGGCCACCAGTGTAGAATCATCTGCGTGAAATGTGAGTACAGGAATGGTCCGAGAACTGAACCCTGAGGGACACCGGATCTGATAGGCTGTACTGTCCACAAGACATTATTAATTTTGATCCGAGATTTCCAACCTTCAAGGAAGGACTTCAAAACTTCTATGAGCTAGAATGGAAAGCCCTTTTGGATTAATTTATGCACCTTGTTAAATGCCTTCGAGATATCCCAAAGCAAGATGCCAGTACTTTCGTTAAGGGTAAAGCCCCTGGTTACTCGCTCCACAAGCCTAACCGCCTGTAACTCCGTATCTCGTACCATGCTCATACCGGAATTGCATGTTAGGAATTACGTGGTGAAAGTCGCAATGATCTCGGCGAAAAAAAACTGACATCAGATTAGTTAGTATGTACCCGATTCACTCAATATAAATTAAGACACCCTATTACTCCTGTATCCCCATATAGCCTCATGGTATCCATGGATAATTCAGGCCTTAGACCTGCATGGTGCTCAAGTACAAAAAGGAGTTACGCAAGAATTTTTGAATTTTTTCTCCAATAGTTTGCCTCCAAATTCAAACTACTAGAAGGCAAAGTTTTCACTTTCATCAATTTCAAATTGGCATATTGAGGATTTCGAATATGATCTATAAAGAATTTCAAGTGTGGCAACAATCTGGTTTAATACTTCCAGAACACAGCAGTGTACTTTGACGAACAGGAAGTCCCCAACGCTCATCCGGCTTCGGTAGATGGACAAGTTTGTTCAAAGAGCCGTTCATTTCTGCAGATCAGAGTCCAGATCGCCGAGGACTTCAACTGACATAAATAAAGTTCGTCAATCCCGGCAGATTATGGGAAAAACTATCTGTTTAAAGCTAAGAAGTCCTTTTCTCCACATAACCTCCTCATTCTGTACAATGCTCAGGTAATACTTAGCCTCGAGTACTGCTCACATGTTTGGGGTGCTGCCGTCCCGACTACATTATCCATGCTCGACGCTGTATAGAGGAGGGCTGTCCGACTGATTGATGACTCGGAGATCTGACGATTTTTAAATAAAAATATTTTATATCTTTAACCTTTACAATATTATTAGTTATCTTAAAAAGTATCGTTTCAACAACTTCTTTTCTGAAAATTATCTCGATAGTATCATGGATCGTGGTATATCTATATCCTATACAATAGTATGCTGTCTATCTTTAATTCATCAACCATCGTTCTGATTAAATAGCAAATAGTAATTATAATTAATAGTAATTAATGCAAATTGATCATTTACAATGCCTGTAAATGTTTACTTTCAGAATTTATCAGCATGAATATCTTTTTCAGTATTATTGGCGCCGTGCCTGTGCGTGAGCGTCCACTTCGAGAACAAGGATGGCGGCTTCTTCATCAAGCAGTCGCCGGTGAGGCAGCACTACGGTGGACCTCTTGCCCCCGCTACTACTGCGCCGTCCTCAACGGACGCCACTGGATCGGGGGTGGCCGCCGCCACTGCCGGGGTGCCGCTCTCTACCGACAAGTTTGTCGTCTTCCAGGTGAACTCTAATTTAGGGTTAATTGAATATATTGGTGCAAATGAATATTTTATAACGGGTGTTCGACCCTAATGATTGGGATCTCAGAAACTGTAAGGGATACGAAGTCGCTTAAATTGGGGCAAAGTTGCGTATTTAGGTAATTAACGAAATTTCGCTTAGAGAGCTTCTAAATTCAAAGAACTTCCGGAAAGAGATGGAGAAAATTGAATTTTCTCAATTTCGTTTTAATTTTTTCCAGCATCAACTTTATTTTTGTTATAGACGACATACTGGATGTTTGCACAGGTGAACGGAGTTTTTAATTCTGATGCCACACATGTATAATACGTCATATATTGACATTTTGAAACGTTGGTTGTTTAAAAAAAAGCAGAATTTCCTAGGTAAGCCTTGAAATTATCAGATAGTCATTTGATTCGCATACTAGATTTATCCCAAAATTATTTTTATTTTTTCCATCTTTATTTGAGATCAAAATAAATTGCATGTTGTCATTGTTAACTATTTTCCTCTACAAGATGTCGTAGTCGCTTAAATGCGTATTTAGGTAACTAACAAAATTCTGCTTAGAAAGTTTCAAAATTCAAACTACTTCCGGAGAGAGACGGAAAAAACGAATTTTCCCAAAATTTTTATAATTTTGTACCGACTTCTGCCACTTTTTCTCCTTTAAAAGATGGCGTAATTAGAATGTCAATATGACGTTTCGTTTCTCCTCCTCAAGCATCAACTTTATCTTTTCTTAAGCCATATTAGATTTTTGCGCAGGTCAAAAAAGTCTTCAATTGTGATTCCAAAAATGCCATACATTGACATTGTTATCAAAAAAAAATAATAGAATTTCCTAAGTAGGCCTTGAAATTATCAGATAGTCATTGTGACTTTACTTGAGATGGAATTGCAAAGTAACTTACATACTGTCATTGTCAATCTTTCTTCTCTACAAGATGGCGTAGTCAAATTGTCAATTCGAGGTTTCTTCTTTCGACTTCCATCACCAACTTTGTTTTTTCATGTGTATGCTGTATTGGAATTTGGTACATTTAATTAGAGTTATCAGTCCTAAATTCTGTGATGTGTTTCCTTAGTTGGCCATGAATTTGATGTTTGGTGAAAATTATAAGGAAATAAAATAATAATAATCATAAATAAGCAAAGGTTTTTTTTTTTATATCGAAACAGCCGCGCAGGCAGAAGCCTAAATGCCGGAACACCGCGGCTGCTATGATGATCCCAAAGAAATCTTGTTAATACGATTTTTGAACTGCCTAAGGTTAGTAGAACTGGGAAAAGCTTTATCCCGTAGTTTGTTCCACAATCTACACACCCTCGGGACAAAGGAGCGGTCGTATCGGCCAGTTCTGGATGTACGAAGTTTGACACGGTTAGAATGGGACGCCGAAGTCAGGCGGGTCTGTCTGGCAGGCACATCGTGCGGCGGCATCATGGAAGAGAGCTCTGAGGAGCAAAGCCCGTTGGTGTAGCGATAGAAAAGAGCTAGTTCGCCGACGGCCCGCCGGTGCGAAAGAGTCCCGAGACTGTCTGTTAGAGAAGAGTCATCGATCAGTCGGACCGCCCTCCTCTGGACAGCATCGGGCATGGACAATGTAGTCGGGGCGGCAGCACCCCAAATGTGTGAGCAATACTCGAGGCTAGGCCTTATCTGGGCCTTGTATAGAGTGAGAAGGTCATGCGGAGAAAAGTACTTCTTAGCCCTAAACAAAGACCATAGCTTTTTCCCAGCAGCTGCAGCTATTGAAGAGATGTGTTTGTGCCAGATCAGGTCCTCGGTGATCTGGACTCCGACCAGCCGAAATGAATGGCTCTTTGGTAGGACTCGACCGTCCATCGAAACTGTATGAGCGCTAGGACGCTTTTTGTTCGTCAAAGTACAGTACTGTGTTTTGGAAGCATTGAACTGTACAAGATTGTTGCGTCCCCAAGCAGTGATAGCCTCCAGGTCTCTTGTCAGAGAAGAAGTCGTCGCTAGTCTTCTTTTTTCCAGCTCAGCGGCAGAGATCGGCTTGTCACTCTGAATTCCTGCATGTAGAGTGCTGTCATCAGCGAAGCTGTGGATTGGGTTGATCGTGCAGGAAAGGAGGTCGTTGATATGTAAGAGAAACAGTGTTGGAGCCAAGACCGATCCCTAGGGAACACCTGCGTTGACGTTGTGGGATGAAGAGGAGAATCCGTCAATTACGACGGATATCTTGCGGCCAGAGATAAAGTCAGCCACCCATCTGCAAAGCTTTTCTGGGAGGCCGTAGGATGGAAGTTTGCTCAAGAGGGCAGCGTGCCACAGCTGATCGAACGCTTTCGTGATGTCAAGAGCAACGACATGAGCCTCACCATGAGACTGGATGAGTTTACTCCACAGTTGCGTGACGTAAGCTAGGAGGTCCCCTGTGGATCGTTGGTGCCGGAAACCGTACTGCCTGTCGCTAATCAAGCTGTGACGTTCGAGGTAGTCCAGAAGCTCGCGATTTATGCCAGGTATTCCATATCAGATGTTTAAAATGTTGTCCGTTATTTTGTGAGCAATGCCTGACACTTCTCTGTACATTGCTCACTGGTCGAATTATTTCACTTCTTTTCAGTCTTCCAAACTCTGTTACTATGTTCAATTTGAGGTCTGGTCTAGTATACGAAACAAATGACTATTTGATATTTTCAAGGCCTACCTAGGAACTTATGCTTTTATGGAATAACTAAGGTTTAGCAATGTTAAAGTATGACATATTATACATTCTTCAAATCAGAATTAAAAACCCTATTTACCTGCGCAAAAATCCAATTCAGCGTCCATGAGAAAAACTAAAGTTGATGCTTAAGACAAAACGTTATACTGAAATTCTAATTCTAATATCATGTAGAGGAGAAAAAGTAACAATGGTTATGTGCAATGTATTTTAAAATCCCACTGCAAATAGAGTCAGGAAGAAATTAAAACGATTTTGGGAAAATTCTCCTTTCCTGTCTCTCTCCGAAAGTACTTTGAATTTCAAAACTTCGAATTTGATACACTCGGTATATTAGACCCTGCGAAGAGTTTTGGGTCAAACAGATTAATTCGATACTTTTCGCCATTATTTCGGTCTTCTTAATCAAAAACCAGACAAAGTCACTCAAGGACGCAAGAGAAAAAAGTAGGGGAAGCGTTTTGCCTGTATTGCTTTATTTTAAATACTTTTTTTTGTTCCAGAGCTCGCAACCGATTTCGGTTCGTGCTAGCTATGGACCATTTTCTACCAAACAGACGGTTCCAGCAAGATATGTGGTGCCAGATCCGTTACCAATGAATACCTCAGGTTAGTATGTATAATATTCATCTTTAATAACATATTTTCAATAAGGTTTCTGATGCACTGAATTCGAATTTGTGGTCAAAATATTTCAATTGGCTCTAGTTCCCGAGATATGGCGGCTTGATTAGCGACAGGCAGGCTCATGCCGTTGCTCTTGACATCGAGAAAGCATTCGATCAGCTGTGGCATGCTGTCCCCTTATGCAAACTTCCATCCTATGGCCTTCCAGAGAAGCTTTGCAGATGAGTGGCTGACTTTATCTCTGGCCGCAAGATATCGATCGTAATTACCGGGTTCTCGCCTTCATCCCACAATGTCAACGAGGGTTTTTCCAGGGATCAGTCTTGGCTCCGACATTGTTATAACATTTCAACACAACCTTTCCTGTACGATCAATCCGATCCACAGCTTTGGTGACAGACAGCACTTTACATGCAGGAATTCAGAAATGAATGTCGATCTCTGCCGGTAAGCTATAGAAAAGAAGGGAGGTTATAATTGCTTGGGGAGGCAATATTCTGGCAGTTTAATGCTTCCAAATCACAGCACTGTACCTTGACTAACAAGAAGCATCCTGGCGCTCATCCAGTTTCGATGGATGGCCGAGTTCTACCAAAGATTCATTCATTTGGATTGGTCGGAGTCCAGATCAGGATTTGATCTTGCACGAACACATATCTTCGATAGCGGCAGCTGCTAGAAAAAAACTAGGCTATTTGTTTAGAAGTAATTTTCTGCACATAACCACCCCACCCTGTACAAGACTCTAGATAAGACATAGCCTCTAGTTCTGTTCACATGTTTGGGGTGCTACCGCCTCGACTACCTTATCCATGCTCAATGCTGTTTAGAGAAGGTCTCTCCGACTGATCGGTGACTTTTTTCTAACGGACAGTCTCGGACCCTTTCTCTGTCTCCCATCACGCGATGCACTTGCCAAACAGACACATCTGACTTCGGCTTCACATACTAACTGTGTCAAACTCCGTAGACCCAGGACTGACCGATACGACCGCTCCTTTATCCCTAGGGTATCGAGATTGGGGAAGAATCTACCTGAGGAATCTCTTTCCAGTTCTACTAATCTTAGGCAGTTCAAAAATCGGATACACACAGTTTCTTTAGGCTCATCATAACAGCCGCGGTAATCTGGTATTTAGGCTTCTGTCTACGGGGCTGCTTCAGTTTAAAAAAATATCCTAACCTAAACTTGCAAAACTAGCGATGTCTGAGATAACACGGCAAATATTTTTTTTTTCAAAAAACCATAAGAATCATCTCAGAGTACAAGACTTGCCGTTTGAAATCTCGTTGTGATTGCTTTGACATCTTTTTTTGTACTAGTAGGATCACATATACTAATCCGAACACCCAATTTAAATGGTTTTATTTTAATAAAGTTTTGTATAAGTACTTAATGAAGCATAATAAGTAAATGATAAAAATTTCAAAATGATTGCACTGCTTTAAAGCCCTTTGACCTTTAATAATGTGTGGATGCACCCTGATGTGCTACGCATTCTCCAACGCGCCTAGGCATGCTTCTGATCGGGTGGTCAATGTCCTCCTGTGGTATCTCATTCCAGGCAACCACCAACTCCTCTCAAAGTGCTTCTAGAGTCTGAGGAGAACGTTGCAAATTGAGCAATCTCCTACCCATCATATCCCACACGTGCTCAATTGGGGATAAGTCGGTAGATGTTGGTGGCCATGGTAACAATGTGACATCATTATGTTGAAAGAAGTCTATTGTGACTCTTGCAACATGTGGTCGGGCATTATCTTGTTGGAAAGTTGGATCTGCCAGGGTGTCAAGATAGGTTAAAAGATGGGGTTCTAGAACTTCGTGGATATAACGCTGCGCGTTCATGTTACCTCTGATGAAGATTAAAGGTGACCTGGAACCATAAGCTATAGCACCCCAAACCATAACTCCAACAGTGTGATGAACATGTCTTTCAACAAAAAACTGTGGATTCCTCCTTTCACCCTGGCACGACCATCGTGCATGCCTAAACAAAATCGAGACTCGTCACTAAAGACAATACTGTTCCATTCCTGATCCCAGAGTGACCGTTGTCTGCACCACTCAAGGCGATTACGTCGGTGTTCTCGAGTTAAAGGGAGGACCCAGTGTGGCCGGTATGAAAACAAGCCAAAACTTCTCAAGTGGCCTTAGGCGGCGATCTTCACGGTCTGTTGTTCTACGGCGGCGTCCATTGCCCCTTGCTCTTTGCGTACGGCCTTCTCGAAGCCATGCCTGACACACCTAACATCTTTGCACTCTAACTGTAATTGCCCGAAAAGAAAGTCCAGCTTCCCGAAGTCCCACTATACGGCCCCTATCAAACTCACTAAGTTGACGAAATCGTACAGGTCTCCGTACTCTAGGCATCGTAACCGATCGTAAAGGATGTCAAGAACCAAAATCCGCCAACGTTGATTCTTTACTGCGGCTGAAATATTCATTTCTAGAGCGTTAGTGAATTAAAAAAAATCAGTATAAAAACCGGAATGTCCAACTGATAAGGCTGAACATTTTTTCACTTGTTATTTACAGTAAGATAAATACATTCACCAACTTTTATTAAAATAAAACCATTTAATCTGGGTGTTCGGATTTATATGTCACTTAGTATATCTGGCAGCAAGAACATTGATTTACAGGCCAAGGCTGTGTTTCAAATGGTTCAAATAAGATTTTTTTGAATACTTGCTGTATCTATTCAGATGCATCGTAAAACTTAAAATATTAGTAATTTCCACGAACACAAATTCTATTCGAAAATCTAAGATTGCTACATAAGAAGTTGGAAAATTCATTTTATGTCAAAGTTTACAATGAAAAACATACCCATATACCCGAAATCAGTCAGTTGAAACTTGTGAACAGTTTCCCTTTCCATCATTTGCGAGGCCACCTATTTCAAAATTGTAGACCATACAAGTTCAAATAAATAAAGCTATTAGACTTTTAAATCTTTCAGCGAACTTTGTATAGCAAATAATACTTCCATTGCAGTGTATAATCCAAATGTGGAATCATTTATCGAATTCCGGTAGGTTCAGATTCGTCATTGATTGGAACTGATTAAATTTAAATCCAGTTGCGATGCACAATGAAAATAATGGGCTCTTTGTTAACCCGCAAAAGAATTCGAAAACCAATAGGAATGCAACGCTGTTTCAACGTAGTTTATAAATAGCTTCGAGTACTTTGTATTATATCTGCAATCATTTTTTTAACAGTGGGCCGAAAAAATACGTGTTGTTACTTTTATGAACTTTTCTCTAAAGTTCATATTCTTTGAGAGTTATTATTATTTAATACCTATTTAAAAAAGTGCAAAATATGTCACCCGGAAAAATAATATTATACTCGTAATGTAAAGACAACCATTTTAATGTTGCCCGAGCTTCTGAACATTCTTCAAACATCCATCAACAAAATCCCAAAGCAGTTTAGAGGATCTAATCTATTCGTCATTGTCTGTCAAGGCGGTCCGTAGGACGTTTTCCTTTGTATTAAAGTACGCCAGTCTGTGAAACCAGTCATGCTTAAATAGAAACAGAATAAGAAAAAAAGACTACGGAATACAACCTTTAGAAAAAACAATGAGCATTGTTGAAAATCACTGTAATAATTTTGAATGCCGAAAAAGAATTTAGTTGGAGTTTTCCTAAAATACGCGATGCGATTCTGCTTGTTCATAACACCGCTGCGCCTGATGTTTAATGTAATCCTCTAAATAAGGGATGTCGAGATCTCTGTAAGGGTCTCGTTTGAGAGGCTCCTGTTTTGCCGAACCTGCAGAGCTAGGATATGCGTCTTCGTTAGAAAGCACCAAGCTGCACACAATGCGTGTGTAATAGTGCGTCTAATCATCATTTTGTAAAATCGAATTTTGTTAATCAAGCTCAATTTTTAAGATCTACATAATAAAGGATAAAGCTGCGGGAAAGTAATTTTGAACTTAGTTTTAAGCGTTTTTGACTGATTAATTTTGATCAGCCAACGATCTGCCCACTCGCTCCCCCGCATATTGTAGCCAGTCATGGACCAGGTTAACAGAACAGGAATGGACTACTAATGCACTGTTATCAGCGTAGAAACAGACTTCATAGTTGGGGTTAGGGACGTCGTGAATGAACAATAAAGGATTGGTCCAAGGACCTTTTTAACATGCTTTTATTAGCTTGTCCTGTATGTATGTATATATCTAACCGAATCTTCGAACATAATTTTCACCAATCTCCAGAAGTTTGATCAATTTGAAACATCGCACATGTATCAATGACCGAAGACAATGCAATATCATGACATGTCCAAAAAAAACTAATTGATAAATCGCACTAAACATGGAAAATGAATAATAGTTTAAAAACACTAAAAAACACGCTTTTATAGCTAACCCACTGGCTGATTTAGAGGTGGGGCGCCATTGTGTTACTTTCTGTCACATCATGGTGACGGAGGCATACTAACTATAAGTTCTAGCTATAGGAACTGAGCATTATGATTTTTTGGAATCCTTTGGTATTCCAAATGCTGTCCCTCTTTGACATGACTTGTTTACAGCACAACTCTTACGATTTATACGTATATACGAGTATTGTGACTTGTGACAAATCTAAGTTTGGGTAATATATTAGCTATACAGATTGCACTTAAAAAATGATTTATGTTCTGTTTGTTGCTCAATAGTAATTTGAAAAGTGTGTAAAGCTTGACTGATTTTGTTCGGGGTTGGTGTTGCAGCGAAGCACTATGTTAGATGAATGCCTAAATAGGAAATAAATAGATTTGTTTAGCGGTGCGCCTGTGGCCTGTCGAGAAACTGCGTCGATCGATGCTCAAAATCAATACCACACGTCCCGCATCTCTTCTCACGTATGTGTCTATTTATGTTGAATTCGTTTAAATCACAGAGCTGCTGCACTATACGTGAATATGTACAGCCCTGTATTCCTGTACTTGTTTAGTACAAACATACATTATCAAA